GGGATCGGCACTGGGATCGGCCGGGATCGGCTGGGATCCGTGCTGGGATCGGCCGGGATCTGTGCTGGGATCGGCCGGGATCCGTGCTGGGATCGGCCGGGATCTGTGCTGGGATCTGTGCTGGGATCTGTGCTGGGATCGGCCGGGATTGGCTGGGATCGGCCGGGATCTGTGCTGGGATCTGTGCTGGGATCTGTGCTGGGATCGGCTGGGATCGGCCGGGATCGGCTGGGATCCGTGCTGGGATCGGCTGGGATCGGCCGGGATCTGTGCTGGGCTCCTTTGGGATCCTTTGGGATCCACTGGGATCCTTTGGGATCCACTGCTCTCACCGGAGTGGCTCCGAGCGTGGTCTCTGTGTCACTCACTCTGTGTCTCGGGCTGGAGCTGCTCCGTGCTCTGCTCGTGCTTGGATAAACTTTTACACTCTCCTAAACTTCCTTCCCATTGCCTTTGTGCTCCTCTCCCTGCAGGGCCCCAACCTGATCATCAACCAGCCCGACGAGCTGCTGGAGGGCATGTCCGAGTGGTGCAAGGAGCACCACGGAAAGGTAAAACCCTTTTTGTGCCTCATTCACGGTGAGAACAGCGAGTGTTCCTGAGAGAGCGGCTGCAGCAGGCAGGGACAGCTCCTGTGCTGAGCAGTGTGCAGTCAGACAGAGGGAATGAGAGACAGGAGACAGTATCTGCCTTATTTTTCATTATTGAAGAGCCTTTGTGAATGTTTTGCCCAAGCTCTCCCAGTCACCTGTGGCACAGTGCACTCAGGGATCTTTAGCCYGAAGCAGCCTGGGCTTTGCTGAGGTTTGTGATGGGTTGGAGCAGTGCTGGAAGCTGTTCTGGTTGAGAGCAGAAAGCACCAGCACAGCCCAGCACTGAGGCTCCCCTGAGAGGGCTGGAACATGTGGGGCCAGAATGGGATCTGTTATTCAGGGATGTGCCACTGCTCCCATCTCCAGGGCAGGGCTCAGCCTCCTCTCCCGGTGTGAGGATGGGAATGGGGGTTTGGTTCCCTGGTCCTCTCACAGAGCTCACACCTCCTGTGGGTGCCCTGGGGTTGGGTGCTCTCATCTGACAGCTCCTCCTGTTGAATCCTGTTCTGTCTGTGTAAAACAGTTCAGAATAATCCAGCCGGGAAGGGGGAGGTGGAGCTCGAGTGCCTGAATGAGAGCAGGTGGAGATCAGTGCAGGACAGTCCAGAGCCAGCCAGAGGCAGATTCTGCTGCATGGGGGACCAAACAGGCCTGGAAACACTGGGCTGTGATTTTTGTGATTTTTGCCTGTCCCTTCAGCACTATGAACCTTGTGGATATTTTCACTGAAAGCTTCCCTTTTGCAGCACAAGATTATTTTTAGTCCTTTGGGCCTCCAAAGAAAGGTTTCTCCTTGCCGGAGGAGCAGGAGAGCAAATAGATTTTTCCAATCCCTGATGATGAATTGAAATTCAAGTTAGTTTTCAATTAAGGGCTGAAGTTTTAAGACACCCATAACCCCCCCTTCTCCCCTTCGGCATCTTGCTCTCCCTGGGAGGAATTAGCAAGAGTTTGGAAAATGAATATTAATTTCCTATGATGGGTGCATTTCCCTGCTCCAGTCGAGGATTCCAGCTCAGCTTTAGCTTGGGACTGAATTGGAGATGGTGGCACGCATCTTTCTGCTCCTGAGGAGCTACTTATTTTTAATTGACTAAGAGAAGAGAAGCAATTAGAATATAGATGAAAATGCTGCCACATAATGAATTTTTTAACCACCACTTGGATCTGTCAAGTAGATTTTTGCRGCACAGTCGTGGAAATATATAGCGTAGCCAGATGGAAATAAATCACTGAGAACACTTGGAGGGGATTTGACATTTAACTATTGAAAAAAAAAAGAAGGGAGGAACTTTTCTGATTTATAGGAATCCTGATAAACCCTCAGGGCAGGATCCTGTTTATTTGTGTTCACTGGTACCTGCTGCTCCCTGCTGGGGAGGAGAGTGCCTCTCCTGAAATTGGGATTTGAGGGGATGTGGAGCTCTCCTGGGTCAAGGATGTGCAGGTGGATSCATGAGGCCTCATCTCATGGTAACTGAGAAGAACCCTGAGCAAAGAAATCAAAAAACGGTGAAGAAAAAACCCCAAACCCCACAGGAAGGTCAGTGCTGCCAGGACAGTTTGCTGCCTTGGTTTTACTGCCCAAGCAGGGAGAATAAAGGCTGAGGGTGCTCCAGAGAACTGAGACTTCAGGGGGTTCCTGGGGAGGATAAAAGCTGAGGGTGCCCTGGAGAACTGAGAACAGGGTTCAGGGGTTCCTGGGGAGGATAAAGGCTGGGGAGAAGAGAACTGAGACTCGGGGTTCAGGGGGTTCCTGGGGAGGATAAAGGCTGAGGGTGCCCTGGAGAACTGAGACTCGGGGTTCAGGGGGTTCCTGGGGAACAGCAGCACTCCCAGGGCTGACCTTTCATGCAGAGTTAAACATTTCCTGGCAGTGTCTGTGCAGGGTGTTTGTGATTTCTCACGTGGCTCTTTTTTGCAGTCTGGCCTGACGAAGGCTGTGAAGGAGAGCAAGATCTCTCTGCAGCAGGCAGAGTACGAGTTCCTGTCCTTCGTGMGGCAGCAGACACCCCCGGGGCTCTGTCCTCTTGCAGGTGAAGCATTTTTGTGTGAAATACAGCATGAACTGCATCCCTCCTGCCCTGCAGCAGAATCAAACACCCACTGACACCTCGGGATGGGCTCTGTGCTGTGTCTTTTCCTCCCTGGGTATCCAACAAAAGCTGAATAAGGATCTCACAGGTGTCCTGGTACCCAGAACTGCATTCAGAATGTTCACATGTGATTTTGGGATGGCTGCTGAGTGAAATTAATCCCAATGGCCATTTTCACTKGGCTGAAAACCCGGTGTTGGCATAGTTCTTTGGTATTTATCTATAGGACACAAATTGTGGGAGCAGTAACTGAGGAATTACTMGAGGTATTAGCATTTAAACCCTGTGTGATCCTGCAATGAAAATCTGACAAACCTTTACAATCATATTTGCTAGAAAATGGGATAAACAAGCTGCCTGTGAATGGCTTTTCCTCCCCTGTGATCTCTCCCAGCTTGCTCCACCTCTGCTTGTTTCCTCTGAACATCTTTGAGGAAACATCTTGTTTGGTGTCTTTGTAGGTAACTCTGTTCATGCAGATAAGAAATTCCTCGACAAATACATGCCACAGTTCATGAGGCACCTTCACTACAGGATCATTGATGTGAGCACTGTCAAGGAGCTCTGCAGGTGAATGTTCCCCCAGTTCAAAGGTGTGAAAGATCCCCAGGGATGCCCATTTTTGGGGCTCTGCAGATCACTGCAGGGGATTTGTAGGGGCTGGGGCTGCTCTGGGTGTCAGTGCATCCAAATTTCTTTCTTTCACCAAGTGGAACAAACCAGCAGCCACCAGACATGGCTTTGAATCCARTTTTTCTGTTGAAGTGGCAATTTGTCTGCTCACAGGCGCTGGTATCCAGAGGAATATGAGTTTGCACCAAAGAAGGCAGCTTCTCACAGGTGAGCTTTGGGTTTGTGTGACAGAAATGGGGCTTGTCCTGCAGGGAATCTGCTCCTGCTGGGGCTCCCTGGGAATTCAGCATCCTGTGTCTGATAGAGGTGGGTGCTGGGTGCTTCTGTCAGGTGTGTTCTCCTGTCCAGAGATAGTGTAGGGAAAGGGATCATTAAAATCCAGGGAACCAGGAATTCCCTCAGCCCTTTTGGTTCACTCTGCTCTTTGAGATGCATGTTTGGTGACCTTGCAAATGGTCACTTAATGGGGATAATCTGCCTTTGTTTTGGGCAGAGTTGGTCACAGAAACACAAAAATTTGAGAATTGTGAATGGGGGATGAGAGTCCTGCTCCTGGATATTTCCTGAGCCTCTCTGGCATATGTGTTGTTCTCTGGCACATCAGCACCATTGGACTTTCCTTGCTTCCCTCAGACAATGAGCATTATTTTAATTTCCACGTTGATCAGTTTGGTTTCCTGCAGCCTGGAAGTTTTCAGTGGCCTCAGGATCTGGGTGTGACCTGGACCCACCTTAATTCTCTTTCAGAGCACTTGATGACATCAGGGAAAGCATCAAAGAACTCCAGTTCTACAGAGACCACATCTTCAAGAGGAAAACAGATGAGAAGAAGAGGAARCTGATTGAGAACGGGGAGAGTGAGAAAGCTGCCAGCTGATTTTCCCTGCCCCAGCCTGCCCGTAGCACACACTAGATGCATCTCCTGGTTCTTTTTTTTTGTTTGCCAGTCTCTTGGGAAGCTCTACCCTGGGTTACCTTGTTTCTTAGCAGCTCTTAATGCTGACAGAAGCCTGAGTTGCTGCTGCTTTTCAGTTTGAGTGGAGGATCAGCATGCTGGGCCTGCCTGGTTCAGCTGTTTGGGTAAAACACGCTGTTTGATACTCCTTGCACCTGCTTTTAGGTGCAGTCTTTCACGACAGAATAAAACAGACCAGTTGAACGMTGGTGGTTCTGGAGAGCCTTTCTTTGGTGATTCTGCTCCCCCGGGCTGTCCTGGAGCAGGAGCTGCTGCCCCATAAACCACAATGAGCAGCAGAGCATGGGCTGTGCGGCTCCCAGGGGGGTTTTTATTGTGGCCATTAATAATTGTGGCCATCCAGGGCTGCTCAGTGCTGCTGATTGCTGGAACACCTGCTCTGCCAGCCCTGGCAATGGCTGTTATTGGAGAGAGGCCGTTAAAATGGTTAATGGGCCAAAGAAATGAGTCTGAAATGTCTCTCTCCTGTCACCAGGTCCTGGGTGAGCTGGCAATTCCAGCAGGGTTTGTTTTGTGTGGAGCAGGGCAGAGCTGAGGAACATCCCTGCACAGGCAGAATGCCTGGATGTGCCCTGCAGAGCTGCTGTCCCCAACCCTGGGACAGTGCCACTCTGGATGGGGACACACAGAGCTCCCTGCACCAACCACAGCCACCAAAATCCCTTCTCTCTCTCATTTCCATGTTTGTTTTCTCCCCTTCCTYTGACTTCTTCTTTCTGACCTACTTCTCCTGCTTTTCATATTTTATTCCTTTTTAAGATGCTTTTGTTTTTCTTGAAACGTTTTTTAAGGAAAATATGCCACCTGTGTTTATACATTTTTAAATATTGTTTATTCTTGCTTCTGAASTGATGGTGCTGCATGGAGGAGTTTTACGGTGTTTCCCTGTGTTTTTACACAATAGCATTCCTGGTTTTCTGTGCTGGCATCATTTGAGGTTCCAGTTTACTACAAATTTGTCTGTAACTGTAACTGCTCAAGGAGTTTGTGTTCCTGTTCGTTCACTGTTGGGAACAGGATAGAGAGTCTCCCATGTGGAAACTCCTTCCAGATTCAGTCATTTGAGCGTTCCATGATGGCAAAAAGAGCAGCCACTTATCCCTCCCTCCCTGCTCCATCTTTCCTCTGCCCTTCCCTGCMCCTCWCMTYCTCTCCATTGATCCACACTGCACTRTTTGGGTGCAAACCACAGAAATCAGAAGAAATATCAGCTCATGCTCCACTTCAGCCCGGCTTCAGTGCACTCTGCTCCCATTCCCATTTCCCAGAGAAATCCTTTCCCCTTTTCCCTTCTGCTCCCGGGCACAGCTGCTGATTCCACCACAATGGTCCAGAAGAAATTCTGCCCTTTGGCACGGACACAACACCACCCTTGGGGAGGCAGGTGAGGAAACAGAGACCCCTCCTCAAACGACAATCAGGCTGAGCTGGGTGTGGGGACATGGCAGGGATGTTTTGGGGACACTGCAGGATGTTTTGGGGACACTGCAGGATGTTCTGGGGACATGGCAGGGATGGGTTGGGGACACTGCAGGATGTGTTGGGGACATGACAGGGATGTTTTGGGGACAGGCAGGGATGTTTTGGGGACTCTGCACACCCACCCACACCCCACACCCACCCATGGCCCCGGGTGCTGCTCATGGGCTCAAGGTCGGCTGCAGAGAGCCCGGAATAGAAAACCTTCAGACASWKTTTTTTTTT